AAAAATGAGCTGGATATTGTGGTGTGCACTTGTTGTCCAGCTACTCAGGACGATTTTATTATGTTTCTGTATGAAAAGTGTTACTTTTTTTTTGTTTATAGAAGTAGATTATTTGTCTGAACTTGAACTGCAGACTCATCTAGAATGTGGCAGCAGAAATTTCACTTGTTTTTTTTTGGTTTTAGGAGGGCTGCCTGGAGTCTGACTTATATAAACAAATATTTGGACAGAGCTTACACACTGAATTTAGAGCCCCCCACCCCTGGGTTTTTCTCCTTTCTGGGAGTTCCTCCCTATCCTTCCAGCAATGGTATTAGCCCCAATCTCTGACTGTGGATTTCTTCGCTTGTTTTTCATTTCCTACTTGCTGCATTCTGAGGCATGCTCTCGGACATAAAAAAACAGGTTGGGGTGGGAACACTCCCTCTAGGTGTCAAGGCCTCCTCTGGCATCTGCTTATTTTTAGTTATTCTTTAGTGCCTTTAAGTCATTGTCTTTTATGTCTTGCCTGGAGTTAATGGTGGTATTTTGTGTGAAGGTTGGTTTGATAGGTGCTTCTTAGACATTGTTGTCAGTGGAACCTCCTCGGGATGATTTTGAGGTTTGTAACCTGGTTGCTATAGATAAAGATTTGGGAATTATCACTCATGGGAATAGCTTAGCTCAGATGATAGAGAAAAAGCCTGGAGATCAGCATGTAATCCTGACTACAATTAAGGTGAATGGAGGAGCAGGAAAAAAAAATAAAGGAGTGTAAGTATTGTGAAAGCTCAGACTGTAACTCCTTTGTTAATTCCTGTATTCTTAGTGCCTAATTCAATGTCTGGCATATAGGATATGCTTATTATTTGTGGAATGAATTTAATGAAAGGAGACTGAATGGAAGGTAGTTAATTAGAACCAAGGGGTTTTCTGGAAGACAAGGGAGGAGAGAGTTTTCTTGTCAGATACCTCAGAGAATTCGACCAGGAATGAGGAATGAAACAAGCTATTATTTTTGGCAATTAGAAAGTCTTTGGTGACAGTCTTGAGAGTTTCAGGAGGCCATGGGGAATAAAGCCAGAATCCAATGAGTTGATCAGTAAAATTGTAGTTGCAATGGTGACAGTGAGTCTGATTAGCCTTATTTAATGATGATGGTAAGTAGAGATAGGTTCATAGCTTGAAATAAGGTCTAGGAAGTTCTCTGTTTTAGATTGATGGTTAAGCTGAGAGAAGAAGCTGTTGAATATAGAAAGGTTGAAAATAAGCCAGGTGTGGTGGCTTACACCTGTAATGCCAGCACTTGGGAGGCCAATGTGGGTAGATTGCCTGAGCTCACAGGTGGAGACCAGCCTGAGCCAGAGCAAGACCTCATCTCTAAAAATACCCAGGCATTGTGGCAGATGCCTGTAGTCCAGCTACTTCGGAGGCTGAGGCAAGAGAATTGCTTAAGCCCAGGAGTTTGAGGTTACTGTGAGCTGTGATGCCAGCGCACTCTACCGAGGGTGACACAGTGAGACTCTGTCTCAAAAAACAAAATAAAACAAAACAAAAACAAAACTCAGAAAGGTTGGAAATATAGGAACAATATTTATTGTAATTCTGAGGAAAGAGGGGCTGGAATCAATGTATCAGTGGCAGAGTTCAGCATATGGAAAGGGAACACTTCTTCCTCTGTGATATTTTTATGGGTAAGGCTGAGGGGAAATGAGAATTTGTTATCACATTGTCCAACTCACCTCAAGAGAGAAGAGCTTTATGGTCCTTGGGCCCTCTTGGGAGAGGAAAAACAGTGGCTGAAGCCTAATTCACATTATTTGTTTCGTTGTCTAATTTACTTATTTATTTTGCAAATTTCTGTGGCAGGGCTGATAGTAGATCATCTTTGTTTTCAAATGTTTATAAAAGATCTGGAGTATATGTATGGAACATAGTTAATAATTTTTGATGTTGGAGATAAAGTCATATTTGGAGAGGGCTAATGGTTCCCTAGTAAACATGCAGATCTCACCACCCTCCTGCAGCCTCCCACTGTGTGAAGGCTGCCCCTTCCCTTTCCTGGGAGCCCTTCCCTCCCTGCCATGTCAAGGGCTGTGGCTGAGATGGCCACAGTCATGGCTAGACTGGTGGAAGTTTCTGAGACCAGTCAGTCCATGGGTAGCCAAGTGGATCCCTAGGGTCTGTGTAGGGCATCTGGTTACCTCCACTTGGCTAGACCAGCCCCACCAGCACCCCCTTCCTTGGTTGCAGCGTTCAGTGGAGGCCAACCTAGTCTGCTCCCACTGGATTCCAGATCCTCCCAGACTAGATCCCCTGTACCTGGTGGGCCCAGATGGGATGGTGCAATGGCCCCTGGAGGCCCACCAGGTTCCCATGCTCCCAAGCCATGCCACCTATTTGTAATGCACATCCTTATTTTCCCTCAAAAAATTTGGGTAGAGGGTGCTGCCTGTGGCGCCGGCCCCTTATACCAGAGGTGGCGGGTTCAAACGTGGCCCTGGCCAAAAACTGCAAAAAAAAATAAAGGGGGTAGAAATGCACATTATATACATGGCAGAATATAGTAGTTCGTAAAAGTTTACAAATAGGCTCGGTGCCTGTAGCTCAACCGGCTAAGGCGCCAGCCACATACACCTAAGGTGGCGGGTTCGAATCCCCAGCCCGGACCCGCCAAACAACTATGACGGCTGCAACCAAAAAATAGCCGGGTGTTGTGGCGGGCGCCTATGGTCCCAGCTACTTGGGAGGCTGAGGCAGGAGACTCGCTTGAGCCCAGGAGTTGGAGGTTGCTGTGAGCTGTAATGCCACGGCACTCTACCCAGGGGGACAGCTTGAGGCTCTGTGTCAAAAAAAAAAAAAAAAAAAGTTTAAAAATAGATTGTTTGCACAGTTTAACATTAAATTGGCACTCATGCTATAGTTGGAACTGGAATGGAAGTTATTGTTTAATCCCCTTTGTATGTGGATTTACAAAATGGCTTTATTGAGGAATATGCTGAAAAACAAATTCCATATTTATTTATTTATTTTTTTCAGCGTCTCACTATGTCACCCTCAGTAGAGAGCTATGGCATCACAGCTCACAGCAACCTCTTTTGTCTTAAGCAATTCTTTTGTCTCAGCCTCCCAAGTAGTTGGGACTACAGGTGCCCGCCTGTAGTTAGTCTAGTTTCTAGACTAACGTCTAGTTATCTTTCGCTGGAGTTGTCATTGTTGTTTAGCTGGCCCAGTCTGGGTTCAAGTCGACCAGCCTCAGTGTATGTGGCTGGTGCCGTAACCACTGTGTTATGGGTGCTGAGCCAAGGTCAGCTATTTTCTTTATTGCAGTTGGCATTGTCAATTGTTTAGCAGGCCCGGGCCGAGTTTGAACCCATCTGCCTCTGTGTATGTGGCCAGTGCCCTAACCACTGAGCAATGGGCACCGAGCCAAAATTCCATATTTAAACTCTGAAAATCAGGTGGGGTGCAGTGGCTCATGCCTGTAATCCTAGCAGTCGGGGAGGCCAAGGCGGGTAGATTGCCTGAGCTCAGGAGTTTGAGACTAGCCTGAGCAAGAGTGAGACCCCATCTCTACTATAAATAGAGAAACTAGCCAGGTGTTGTGGCAGATGCCTGTAGCCCCAGCTACTTGGGAGGCTGAGGCGAAAGGATTGCTTGTGAGGCCAGATGTGGTGGTTCACGCCTGTAATCCCAGCACTCTAGAAGGCCAAGGCAGGCAGATCGTTTGAGCTCATGGGTTCAGCCTAAGCTAGAGAGAGACCCTGTCTCTAATAATGGCTGGGCTTTGTGGTGGCAGATACCTGTAGTCCCAGCTACTTGGGAAGCTGAGGCAAGAGAATCACTTAAGCCCAAGAGTTAGAGGTTGCTGTGAGTTATGATGCCATGACACTCAACCCAGGGTGACAAAATGAGACTCTGTCTCAAAAACAAAACAAAACAAAAAAAAGTCTTGCTTTGTGACCAAGAGTTTGAGGTTGTTGTGAGCTATGATGCCACAGTACTCTAACAAGGGCAACAAAGTGAGACTCTGTCTCAAAAAATAAATAAGTAGCCTCTGTGCCTGTGGCTCAAGCGGCTAAGGCACCCACATACACCAGAGCTGGTGGGTTTGAATCCAGCCCAGGCCCGCTAAACAACAATGACAAGTACAACCAAAAAATAGCTGGGCGTTGTGTCTGGTGCCTGTAGTCCCAGCTAATTGGGAGGCTGAGGCAAGAGACTAGCTTAAGCCCAAGAGTTTGAAGTTGCTGTGAGCTGTGACCCCACCCCACTCTACTGAGGGCAACATAGTGAGACTCTGTCTCAAAAAAAAAATAAAAAAAAAGAAGGCTAGTGCCTGTGGCTCAGTGAGTAGGGCACCAGCCCCATATACTGAGGGTGGCAGGTTCAAACCTGGCCCTGGCCAAACTGCAACAAAAAATAGGCGAGTGTTGTAGTGGGTGCTTATAGTCCCAGCTACTCGGGAGGCTGAGGCAAGACAATCACCTAAGGCCAAGAGCTGGAGGTTACTGTGAGTTGTGACATTATGGCAATCTACCAAGGCCAACAAAGTAAGACTCTTGTCTCTAAAAAAAGAAAAAAGAAAGAAACCGCCAAACTGTTTTCCAAAGTGGTTGTACGTTTTATACATAATTGCTGATTGGCCAGCAGTATGAGACTTGAAGTGGCTCCATCCTAACCAACACTTGGTTATGGCCAGTCTTTTTAATTTCAGCCATTCTAGTAGATACATAATGATATCTCATTTTGATTTTAATACGCATTTTCCTAATGATTAATCATACTAAGTATCTTTTTTGTTTTTATTGGACATTTGTACAACTTCTTTTGTGAAATAAATGAATCTTTTGCCCAATTTTTAATTGGGTTGTTTGTCCTAGTATCATCAGTAAGAGTTCTTTAGAGTCTAAATAGAAATCCTTTGTTTGATACATGTTTCGTAAATTTTTTTTAGTCTGTGGGTTGCCAATAGTGTCTTTGTAGAACAAAAGCTTTTCATTTTGATGAATCCCAATTTGTTGATTTTTAACTGTGTGAAATCTTAGTTGAACCTAAACTTTTTTTCCAGAGAATCAAATCTTATCTGCACATGAGTAATTGATGACATTTAAGAATAAAAAAATTATATTGCTCTTTGTAGCTATGTCTTAAGGTAAATTATCTTTTCTTCCTTCATCTTTCCTATAGTATGTTTACAGTAATTCCTTGTCAAACATAGTACATGTATTTTTATTAGGTTGAGTTGAACAAAACATTTATAAATTATATTTATTTTAACTTCATGTAGGCAGCTAATTCCTACTAAATATTTACAATTACGAATTCTTCTAAAATGAATAAATTACCTCATAAGCTGTTCTTTTTGTCAGTTCACACTGGCATTTCTCGTATTTATTTAGTAAAGATAAACCATTCCTTTTCCTTTCTTTTCTTTTTTTCTTTTACTAGTCAAGTATAGCAAGTGTGAACCATCAAGTGAGATAACTCACTACCTTCCGCCCAGCCATGTTTCTTTTCTTGACCATCACTAACTTCTGAGATTGAGAAGAATCCATTTGCGGTGTTAGGAAGCAGTACTGCAGTCAGTAAAGGAAGTGTGCACTCCGGTCACTATTAGGAAAGCCATGGCTGCTGACAGCTTTATTTTTGCAAGTCTTATCCTGCTGCTTCCTGGCAAGGATGGTGTTTACTTCTCCAGTCCCACAGAAGGAGCCTGTTTAGCCTCCTGCATCACTGGCCAAATTGCAGTTAAGTGCTGATTGCAGCATCCTTGTTATCTGGCACAGTGTGGGAGGCAGCAAAAAACACTCCTTGTTTAGCTGCAGTGGAGTTTGTGTTACTGGCCGCTTGAAAAATTTATTCTTAACAAGCCGAGAAAACTTGACCATGTTCAGAGTATAGAATAATATAGATTCTGGTTGGTCTTTAAACTGTTTAGTAGCATGGTTTATTGGGTACAGCTCTAGACTAGCAATGGAATGAATACTCTTTTAAAGTAGGCTCGGAGCTTCTCTGTTATGTGATCTTGGGCAGATTTCCTCATTGTTTGTACCATTTCCATTCCCTAGAAGTATTGTGAGCATAATTTAGATGCTAGCTTGAAGGGCATAGAGATTTTTAAGAGTACTCAGTCAGGGCTCAGTGCCTGTGGCTCAAGTGGCTAAGGCGCCAGCCGCATATACCTAAGGTGGCAGGTTCGAATC